TGCTTGGCCATAGAGGTTGTGTTCCCCCCTTTACAAGAGATGATTTTGCAACATAAGTTGCATTTCGCTTTTCCGGAGGAAAAAAAAAACGACCAGACTCGATAGTGGTATCGATAAGCCCAAACGTTATTGATTTTCGGGTTTTGAAAAAAGTGGAACCGGGTCCTTGATAGAACCGGGTTTCGATCCCCATCCCTACTCAAGAGTATCATTACTTCATTGTATTTTTACTCAAGTAAGAGTAAAAAGTAGCCATATAAGACATTACTCAAGTATTTGGTAAAAAGGCTACTCAAATAATAAGTAACTCATCAAACGGCTGATATTAGAGATCGTGTAATAAAGACAAAACAAAATGTAAAGCTATGTTCAAATTCTGGTGTAATAAATGAAAAATAATTCAGTGCAGAAAAAAAAAAATCTAAACCAGTCTTCTTTTTAACATAAAACATATAAAACTAATTACCTCCAAAAGCAATATTTACTTCTTGCTGTATATTTCCTTGACCTTTAAATGTCATGGTAGGTTCAAGTAAGCTTGTGTATTGAAAAAAAAAAAAAAAAAACTTTTTGTGTTTGGAGCCCCTTTTTTTTAACATGCTTGTTTGTTATTCAGTCAAGTTATTCACAATAGACAGAGTAGCCAAAGATTTTACTCAGGAGTAGAGATATTCTATAAAGGTATTGCTAAACCAAAAATAAAAAGTCTGGGTCAGTAAAATTAGTCCTAAAAGTGTATTTTTTTCAAAAAGTCACTCAAGTAAATCTGACTAAGTAAATGTAACTAGATACTGCCCACTTCTGGTCTTAACCAGTCAACTTTTTTTTGTCATTTTGTCAACCTTAAGTAAGGTAGGAAACTCAGTTCTACAGAATACTAAAATATTACAAAACCTATGTAAGAACCCTTCAATAAAGAAATCATCTGTTAGGGTCTGCAAAAATATGTTAAAGACAGCTGACTCAAGAGTTGTCCAGCAAACAGACACCGGCAGCCTGCAAAAGAAAGATAAGCCGCAAAAGGTCATTACTAAGGAATGTGGGTGTTCACAGAGTGCTGTATCCAAGCATACTAATGGAAAGTGGAGAAGAAAAAGGTAGACGAGCTTAAGGGATCATACACGAACAAAGAATAAAAGGACTAAATTGCTGCTTAGTAGTATATAGTTAACTTCATGGATTTAAAAAAAATAATAGCATTTTACTTTATAATGTTTCTACAGAAAGCCTGAAGTTGGTGCAGCCATCTACCAGGAACAGAGGACTCCAAGCCCTTGCATTAGTTGTTAAGCCTCATTGAGATGCTAATTGTTTTTTCTATAAGACCTTCACACCTGCCATTCTGGCCAAAAGTGCCAAAACCTGGTTTCAACACCACAATATTACTGTGCTTAATTATTCTACTAAGTCATATCCCCTGACCTCCACAGAGAATTTATGCAAATGACCTACATACTGCTATTCAATCAACCATGGCTTCATCAACACCTCGATGGAATCGTCTGCGGGCCACATCGAACTGATGCAACAATTGACGCAAAATAAGCCCAGATCAAGAATTAAATGCATATCTTGTACAGTGGCCATACTTTTCAGCAATCTGAATTATTTTTTCTCATAAAAAATACATTGTTCTTACAGGATGTTTTGACAGATGTTATCAAACTGACAACAAATGTTGTTTTAAGAGAATTTTAACAGCTTTGATAATAAAGCTTTAAATCACCTAAAAATACTCTGATATTTCTACATTTATTATGATTATCAGTATATAATTCATAGAAAAATAAAAAAAAGAACTGCTGAGAACATTCTAAAACATTAAATGAAATATAATTTAATTTTAATTATTTGAGCTTGAAATATTTATACCATCTGGGAGAATATCCAGTGCCAGATGCTGACTGGTCATTACAATAATTAATGTGTCTGGCTGAAGGTTTTGTTAAATAACTTTTCAGGAAGTTGTGAAGCACATTGGGGAAAAAAAAACTCCCTTGACCTTCATTAAGCCCTGTGGTACCTCTGTGACAAGTTAATTAATAGACTGCTCTTTCCACCTCTAAAATTAAACTAAGTTAGGAAGAAGTGTGTACACCTGCACATTTGAACGTTAAACAGAAAATCAGCCTTAGGCACTGTTTATAGATATTGAAACAGCTATATTATAGAAATACAAATGTGTCTCCTCTATTTCAAACGGGAGAAATAATAGGGAAAAGGGATTCAACGTTGAACCCAGAGATTTGCTTTAATTCCTCTTTGACCCATTTTCCATCATACACACACATGTTCTCATCTTCCTGCAGGAAAGGAAAGGGTTTACTAATTGTTTCCAGAAAAAAGCTATGTAGTGCAACTCTGGTAAAAATGCAGGAAGTTTTATAACAGACCTATAGCAAATCTGTTAAAAGTATGCAACGTTATCTGCTAAGCTAACAAACACCTCTTGCTTATCTGAACTACTCATTCACAATTAACATGTTTTCTCTAAATTCTCTACATCAATAAGGAAATTTGCTAAAAAGTCAGTGACTCCATATTTTTATGTATAGAAACACTTTTACCAATTTGGATTTAAATAAAAAATAAATAAAAATTCATTGTTTTCTAACTAGCAATATATTGGAAAGTGTGTGAGTGAATTATTCTGTCTATACAATTAGACTGAACTTACATTATATTTCTCAGATTTTTGTGGATCACTTCATTTTGTAAAATTTCTTAAGAGATTGTTATGAATCATAGCTCTCATTGCATCCACTGAATGCAGAGGCTAGCATTAGCTCAAAAGCTGCAAAGAGACGCCAGTTAAAAGTTGTTAGTACCATTTCTTATGCTACGTTCACACCTAAAGCAGCAGGCGCAGCAGAAGTAGCTAGTTTACATGCAAAGTCAATGGTTGACGCGCATCAAGACGCAGCAAAAGGTCCTGCAGCCTATTTTGAGCATCTGAAGCAGTGAAGCATCAGCTGCTGTAGTTAGAAAAATTGAACTTTAGGTGCACGATATGCTACATCAATCAGAGAAGCTGATCTGGGAGCTGGCAGGGAGACTGACATAGCACTGCTGATGCAGATTGATATAAGCACTCCTCTGAAACAGTTTATGAATGCCTAAATTAACTTAAAATTTCAAAACCTGCCGACAAAATATGTTCAATCTTATTATTCTGGTGCCTGCAGTTTGGATTACGAAAATGAAAAACGCCTTCCAACCGCAGCAAACAGTAGTGGAAAACTGCAAAGAGGCGACCAGGCCAGAGGCTGCAGTTGAAGGGGATTTCAAGTGACAGAGCACTGCTGGTGTATGGGGGGTCTGAGAGGCTCTGACAGTGAAATAATATTCAAAGGCAGGATCATAATCTTGATAAACTGATTGCACAGATAAGGTTTTCAGGTGGACTTTCTCACTTAAAAACATATTAAAACTACCTTTTACCCACTTATGACAGCAAATATAGCTGCCACTGTTACAGGCAAAGAAAGGATAGGGTAGCTCCGCCCAACGCGCATCAGACCCACTTTTCGACCACGCAGCTAGAGCAGCAAAGACGCTTCAGCCACGCATCAGAACTAAACTTGACAAGCATCAAAAATGAAGCAACACAAGCATTTTTGCTGCTCCTGCTGCGTGCGGTCTGAACGTAGCATTATGCTGACTACAACTTATTTGGGATTCATAACTGCTAACTTTAGCTAAACTGTTGATTTTATATAAGAGATGAATGGAAAACTACTTTATTGCTAGTATTGGTTAGTATACTTTAACTGCCTAACAAGCTACTATTAGCAGACCAAACAAATTTGCTGTCAATATCTTATCTTGCTAAATATATATATATATATATATATATATATATATATATATATATATATATATATATATATATATATATAAAATATATGTAGATTATACAATATAATAAATGTTTTTAAGACCAACTTTTTCCACATGTTCTGGCTCCTTCATCACAAAAAACATTGATGATCAGAGGTCAAAAAAACCGTCCCAGAATTTCAGCCTCAGTGGTTTGTCAGATATTTGTGAAAAGGTGACCCTAAAATGATTCATTTAGAAACTGCATGTTGATTCTTTAAGTAGCTCATAAAAACTGGAGAGACATACTGTTGGATGCAAGTTTAGCAGCATTTAATTTCATCCCTGTGTGCAGACTTCTATGAAAATAGTTCTTTTTGATGGCTTCAGTGTCATCCACTGTCTCATTCCACTGTGCCAGCAGTTAAAAGAATAAAGCCATGGAAAAAGAATAATGCATCTCAGGAGAATTAAAAACCCATTCAGGAAAGTTAAATAGCTTAAAAAGAAACCAAATACAGTTTGTAGTGAAAGAAACCTTTAGCATTTTTTAAATTAAACAAAAGCGTATATTTTCTCCAACTACAAACTTCAAAAATGTAGCATGTATGAGGTTATAGTTCAACATTGTGTCTATCTTCAGTTGCTTCACTGATCTTAAGATAAAAGAATAATAATGAATAACTGTTTTGCACCTAAGTTATTGGGCCACTTATTTATACAAGCAAGAAGCAGAGCTATATTGATGACCGTATAGCTTCAACTACTAGCCTTTGAAAATGAGTTATTGATCCTTCCTGGCAATTATTTCAGATGGAAACTTAGAAAAAAACAACACTTCTCTGATAAGAAATTGAGGGCATTCTCATAGGCTTATACAAAGGTGTTTGTCAGAAGATAAAAACAGATAGAGTACAGATAATGAACATTTTGAATGGATTTGAACTCATTTCTTTTTGGCAATTTTGAGGTTTTTCAATAAAAAAAAAAGAGCTACAAAGGTAATCACCAAGGTAAAACTTGATTAGAGAATGTAAAGCTTGTAAATCTTGTAATAGATTAGACAACATAAAGTTTGTAAATCTTGTAATAGATTAGACAACATAAAGTTTGTAAATCTTGTAATAGATTAGACAACATAAAGTTTGTAAATCTTGTTAATCAAAGAGAGAAACAGATCAGGACCAGGTAATTAAAATCTCCGTACCCTCTACTCCACTGATGCACTTTACACGGTCGCGGACCTCGACATTGTATCCTTCGAAAGACATGAAGACTCCTTCTGGGTGGTAGGGCTCCCGCTGGGCATAGACCTTGGAGTAGCTGTGCTGGAACTCAAAGCGATCATAGCCATCATACTGCACAATCTTTCCATATACTTCAAAGTATTTCTCCACCCAGCTGAAGGGAAGGTAGACCTCCGCTCCTTCTCGTCTGCCTTTGATGGTGGATTCGTCGTTGATCAGGCAGTCGATTTCTTCGTATTTGATTCCACCAACCACGCCAACAACAGGTGGGGGCTCTGGAGGCTGTGGCGGTTGTTGCTGGCTGCTACTGATCTTTGCACTCGGAGCCACAAATGCCGCCCGAGGGAGGAACCGAAGGGAGATGTCACTGGAGCAGCGGTTCCATAACAGCACCGTTATGAGTGTGAAGAGGGCACATATAACTATGAGGGTCTTGTAGTTCACCCGAGCAGCCAGGCAGCGCATTGTCACAACCAGCCTACAAAACATAAGCAAAACATCAGAAGCATGCAACATGTACATTCACTCAAGTCTGCATTAGGAGAGGTAAACTTTCTTGTGACCCGTAGAGAAAAGCAGAACTTTTTGGGTGAAATTAGTAAGAGTTTTAAAATGCAGGTCATAAAAACTTAAAAGTAAACACAAGAAAGTGGATGCATAAGTTTGAATTTACTGTGGGTAAAAAAAAAAAATAAATAACAAAAAGAAAATAAAACATACAAGGTGACTGAAGCAAAATGCCTTCTGTGCAAAAAACTTTTAAGGTCAGATCAAAGAAAAAAAGCCATTTGGCCACAATACAATTCAGGTATTCTTCCAGGGTCATGTTGTTGGTTTCCAACAAAAGACAGCCTTGGGATGTTTGACTTGTTCTGTTTGATAGCTTATCCTTTCCTAGATTTTTAATGTGGATTGATTCCAGGAAGAAGAGCTGGGAGGGTCATAGATGCAAAGTCTGTTCTATAAATAATATTTTAATCTAGCAAAATGTATTTATTTATTTTTTTACCTGGCAGTGTGCTTAATGTCACATGACAGCATCTGAATGATAAGCATCTCTTGGTTTTACAAAACCTTCAGAATTCCCTGCTTGGTCTCTTTAATTTGGCAAGCCATGGATTTTAAGCATCACACCACAGCCACCCTGTTTGACTGTTGATTCGATCCTGCTTTATATATATATATATATATATATATATATATATATATATATATATATATATATAAAAAACAACATTTGTTTATTTAATGCAACCATCTCAGATAGCAATTAAATGTTTATATTTACAAATAGAGATCTTTCCAGTTTTTATTTTATGAAATATGCGGCACATTTAGCTTTCCATATCTGCCCCAGTCACATTTGATCCCTTTTATAGATTTTTACTTGTGTGATTTCTACTTGTCACACGTTTAAATTAGACTACAAAATGCTCTGTTCAAAATCTTTCCTAAGCAGTTAAGGCTGTACAGTAGGATGGTCAATTTATTCACTTCCACTGCAGCATTTTTTCAGCAGTGGACGCGCCCTCATTGGTCTGTTCTTAATTATAACTTAATCTAGCAAAGATTGGGAACAAAACCTCGACAGAAAAGGCTGAGTTGTTTGCTCCATCAGAACGCTTTAAGCAATGACCGCCTTCTCGGGCTTCTGCAGGTGAGGTCTTTCTAAAGTTCTGTTTGATCTAAAGCTGATCCTGCGGCTTGAGGCGGCTTCTTCAGGTGAGAACCGCTGTACCTTTCCATTTAAAGTGATGGAGCAACTGACTGGCCATGTACAGAGGGGGAGATTAAGGTTTGTATTTTCTTGTCTCCTCCTGCAGCGCAGCCAGCCTTATGTATGTATAGCAGCTTCACAAACTTCAGAGAAACTGCGTCGACAGCATAACCAGTTAGAAGGAATGGATGGTGGGGGTCTTCCCCAATACCGCAGTAGGTAATCAATAGAAAGTAATTATAGAAAAAGCTAAATTAAAGCTTCAATTTCCTTGCAAACATCTTTAAAAAATAATATTTGTGGCAAAACATGTAGGAGGCTTTTCTATAGTTATCCGTCTCCTACTCCGCTTACCGAGTCAGGCCTTAATCCAAGGACAAATGTAGCCTTCCTAATGAGTTTGTCTAAAGTCACTTCCTCTCTGCTATGGATAACCTGCTGCTATAACAAGCTAGTTTATAAAAATGGCTGATGCCAGAAGCGCAGTTTTAACAACTGGAAAATATATATATTAGTCTCTGTCTCCAGGATCAAATTATTTACAGTCAGTTTAAAAATGAGAAACAACTTTTAAGCATGTATTTTACAGCAATTAGTGGGCTAATAGGGACACCCTTTAAACTGTAAAACCATTTCCACAGAGAGTTAATCATTATGGTTTAGATTGCTATATAAATTTCCCAAATGGACTCTGATGTGAAATGGTGATATATTTTTATTCTAAGGTTGTCGTTTAACTTTAGAGCACTACGCCTCCGACCTGGTCACTTGATACTGCACCTGCAGATCAAACTGAGTCTAAACTCAATTACCCTTTCTAAAAGGTTTACCCCATCACTCATGTCTTGCAATGACATTTTTGAGTCCACCCATAAGACTTTATTTCAAATGAGCTGCATTAATGTCACCACTGGGCTATCATTAGTATTGTCTATCCTATATCCACTGCCTAATAAAAAGACCATACAAAGGTTTTCTTTTCGCAATTATTCAGAGGGTTACCATTTTCTATTGAAAAAGCTTTAATTGCACCACATAAAGCAGACATTTTTCTTCCCCTATTGTGAGTCAGGATTCATGTTTTTCTTTGACATTTCCACCAAGCAAACAAGAAATCAATGCACAACCTTTAGCTTCCTCCTCCACACTAATTACAGCTTACTGCCCACAGAATTTACTGCTAAAGTGAAGACCGAGCAGGGAGAGGGGAAAATCATTACTATCCAAGTTTATTTCACTACCTCACCCTAAATGGGCCCAAGCTAAAAGTAGGAGTGATTAATGTACAATAATTTCAGTGATAGTAATCTACTTCTACAATGCAAAGTCAAATCATTGAGCAAGAGGCATCCAGAACATTGCTGATCTATCAAATAGTTCCAATCAACAAGGATGGTGTACTAAGTGCTTTGAACGGCAAACTTGGAAGGAATGCAAATCATACAATAAGTCATATCGGATTATACTTGCACAATTTGCTGCCCTGTACCGCAGTGTAACATCACAGTCTGATCAATCACTGGGACACTCTTTACCGATATCAGGAGATACGACAGACCAGTAAGGGGATGCAACACCAAACTGACTGAAGCTCCAACTATTGTAGAAAGAAATGCAAGTAATAAAATAAAAATCCCACAGACTGCCCCCTGAAAGATAAGTAGGACTGGTCCTGACAAGGAACTCGGTATAAATGATTGTCTCTTTTTATAGCTCACTCCTGCTGCTGTTGAGCTTATAGCCTCAGTTGATATACATGGAGGCTTAGGTACAAAAGCATAAACCAATGCCCTCTTTCACAAATGCAACATAAATGTTTTTTTTTTTTTTTAGAAAATTAAAAATCTATATATTTTATCACTGCAATTGTGTGAAGTATTTTTTAAAACTTAAAAATTCATATATTGTCTAAAAAAAAAGAAGAAATTAAGCATTGGAATAAAAACTTGCAGACTGAGGGCTAGAAGAACACCTTGCACCCAGGTGTTCATGATATCAGCCGCTTAATAATTTTTGGTAGTATGTGGAAAAATGTTAACCTACCAGCAAAAAAAGGGAAAAAAAAAAAAAATAAAACTTCTGATAACACACCGGGGTCAAAGAAAAAACAAAACATAAACAGACGTCCCTTAATCTTCTTTTAAACTGCCAACGACCCTGAATAAGTTGACCTAAAACTCTAAATTCAGCAATTCACTGCCCTCATGGTCAGTCAGGCTGAAGAGCTGCTAAACATTTATCAGAAGACGACTGGGTCAAGAGCAGAGACACGGATTCAAGGTGAAGATGGAAGCAGTAAGACCATGAGGATACAACTAAAGTCAGAGATTACAGAGTTTTTGAGATAGATTAAATAAGAGAGACACCTTGACTGAGTAAACGACCGTACCTGTGCAGGGTCACCAACACAGGAAAAGATTAAAAAGAGCTTGAGATGTGTGGGTGATGTACTGGTGTGAGCTTGTTTTGATGAGTTAGACCATTTTTAAACGTGGATGAGCTGAAAACATTGCTTAAGCCGTTTCTAAAAGACGTCTGTTAAAACTGCATTTTTCACTTGGAACGTACTAACATATCTGACAGATCCTTGAATCCATCGGACATACAACGATTTCCACAACATATCAGAAGTCAGATTTATTTTTGGAGAATTATTTGTCTTGTTGTGCTTTACAATGTGCAGGATCTTCATTTTAATTCTGACATAGTGTTGTCAATATGGCCAAGGACTGTTATGATCACTATATTTTATGACCAATTTATTCCCAATTTTATGATATTTAGGATTTGTGTAGCAAAATAATGCATTTTTTTATGGAGCCTTCCAAGCATTGATGCTAGAGGATGTTTGGTTAAAAAATATTAAAGATCAATGAAAGTATAACATGCAAAGTAAACATGCTGATTTATTGCATCAAATATCCAATATTCAACTGTAAGGTCTCCATTGCATGATTTCCTAATGCCATGCAACCTTTGGGGAAAGCCTGGAACAAATAATGTAGTTTCTGTAGTTGAATTCTCTCCATGTACCATTTAACAAAATTTTTTGTAAAACAATACAAGAGAGGATGATGGATTTACAGAGTGTTTGCAGTGCTGCAATACATTGGATAGAGATGAGATGGTACTGGTTTTAGTTTCTTACAGTTTGGGTTAGAACTGCTAAACCAGAGGAGCTGATGCTAAGTATAAACCAGAGCGGGTTTAGCCCCAGAATCCTATATTGTAACTTCTGGCACCCCCAGCCAGCCCTCCGTCCTGCTATGTGAATCCTTCCTAAAGCTGATCTAGGTCATCTCTGCCTTTAAATAAGTGCTGACCTCATATTGGCAAGTTAAATCCAGCTTAAACTGGGATTCTCACAGCTACTTTGATGCCATTTACAGCAAAGTAAAAGGCTTATTAGGCTTTGGGAAGGTATGTTTCCGTTGTATTAAGGGTGTTTAATGTGTGATAATAACATTTTAAAAGATGATAAACACAATTAACAAATTGCTTCATGCCTGGGAAAATTACAGACCCTGATATTTTGGCACAAATCCCATACATTTGTTTGTGATTCAAAAGGATTAATTCTAAATAATTTGTCAAAACCAAAGCTGTCTACTGCATTGCAACACAAGATTGTGTTTAAATACTTATCGCTAAGAGGAAAATTTAATTTTCCCAAAAGACTAAAAACTCAAAAATGCGTGTTGCTTTACAGCATACATATAACAAACTGTTCTATTATTAATGTCCTCTAGATTCAATTTTCA